TGTCTCGTAGCAAGATGCAGCCTTTTTCAACAGAAATGATTCCTTGCCTTGCTTTTAAAGCAGTTTAAAATGAGGGCCTAATTCTGTGGTTGCAGCCTCCCATTTTTCCTGCGTGAGAACCAGTAGCCCTGAGTGTTTTCCTGGCAAAATGACGGACAGTCCTCCGGGATTGTCAGAATTAAGGGAGCTGTTGTGAGCTGCAACATTCAGCCTGATGTTAGGAAGAAATCTGGGTGTGGAGGAAGGGATGGGTAAATTCTTTCCTTACCCGGGGTGGGGAGCAGCTGCAGAGTTCTTCAGTGACTGCTGCTCTGCCTTTACAGAGGTAGCCTTTTTCCCATCACAGGGAAGTGCTAATAGTGCATTTGGGCTTGCTGCTTTCATGTCCACTTCTTTTTTCTTCCTTGTTGCCCAGTGAGGTGGTAGGGCAAATGCCCTGTCGCTGAGGCACAGCCCGTGGTGTTTCCTCCACTGTGGGCTGAGCAAAAGGGACCGTTTGTGGTCCTGCTGCCATAGGTTGTGCTGATTCTTTGCCTTGGATTAGCTGTGGCTGCAAGGGATGGTACCGCCGGAGGAGGGTGTGTGGTGGTGTTAGGGCAGTGCAAGCAGTTGGCCAAAAGAGATCATTCACTTAGCATAGCTTTTGGCTCTCTGCTAGTGTTAGTAATGGGCTATGATAACTGTACAGTTGTAGTGCAGACAGTGCTAAGTTATTTGAAGTGCAGCGTTCAGGAATAAAACTTTAAAATCCATTTGTTTTTTGAAATTGGCTATCATCTTGACATTTTTGGACTTCATCTTTACTTTGTGATGCAGCATGTTATGTGGAACACTGTGCTGCTCTTTGTGCTGAGACACTGAACTGCTTCAGGCAGAAACTACCAACATGTCTGGAGAATATAATTTTAATTCGGATAATTAAGAATCCAGACTTTATTTGTGTAAGTTATCCAAATGTTGTTACCCTGTAGTCCAGAGAAAAATAATTTTCCCACTGTTAAGAAACATGGTGGAATCAGTCAGCAATGTGTATTCCAGCAATTAATGTTTGCATATAGGCTAGTACAGCAAAGATTTTTTAATTTATTATTTTTCCCAGCAGCTAGCTGTGCCTCAGCAATGACTTGAGGGCTTGTCAGATTGTGAAAGTCCAGTCTGAGCCCTTGTTAAAAAACAATTTAGTGAGAACCTTTGGATGCCACTGTGTGAAGAATATTGTTTTAACTGAACAGATGTTCTCATTTCAAGGGCGATACTGTTGAAAGATGTGCCAGGCAACAAAACCAGATGCATTTTCTAGGGCAGATGGAAAAGAATGCTCTGTGTTTCGAGCTGGTATTTTATTTTGTAGTTGTGAAGGATTCATCCTGAGGACTTGGAGTTGTGGATGACTTTCTGTATGCGAGTCCTAAAAGCATATCTTGCTTTCAGTGTTTGGTTTGATGTCCTTAGGAGACAAAATATTTGAATCTAAGTGGAGCACCTGTGTGTCACCTCACTATTCAAAGCAGCAAAAAAGCTGTTTGGAGTCGTCAACACCATGTGCTCATAAATGAGTGAAGTGTCCTGTTATTCTGGGAAGTGCTGAGAAGTATTTTTAGTATATGTTGTTTTTTTTTAAATTGGCTGAAACACAATATGAAAAGCAGAAATATTTTTTGGTTTTCTATCTGTTCAGGGTGACAATTTGAAGCAAGCAGTTACAATACAAAATAGTATTTTATTATGTATGTATATACTCAATAAGTTCAGACATATTCCAAAGCCAAAAGCATCTCAGTCAGCTGAGGCCCTGTGCATTAAAAATAAAAAATACTGAACACGCTATCATTAACATCTAATTGACAAAATATTATTTTGTTCTTAACTTTGCAAAACTCGTTGCCTTGCTTTTCAACAGCCTTAATATTTAATTGACTTCTGGTATAGTCACTGTACCAAAGCTGAAGAGTTTCTTTCTAATTTTAGTGCAAATCATTCAGTTTGCAAGGGTGTTGGTTTCAACTAAGGGGTTTGCTTTGGAGAATTTTGCTGGAGAAGCCACTGGTGGCTTCCAGAATGTTTTCAGTTAAGATGGGTTCATATTTAAATCATTGTCTTCAATATCTTCATTTTTATAGTTCAGTCTTAGAGACAAAATTCACACTGCTCAATAAATGCATTGATTTGGATTTATAAAGCCATATATTTCCCATTTATCATGTGATGGTTTGTTTCTCTTCGGTAGAGATGGAATTTCTGGCTCTGAAAATGAGGAATCTAAACCCAATTGCATTACAGACTGTTTCACTGTTGGTCTTTTTTTTTTTTTTTTTTTTTTTTTGTGTTTTTTTTTTTTTTTTGTTGTGTTTTTTTTTTTTTTTTTTTTTTTTTTTATGTGCTTTTTTTTTTTTTAACTGTAGCTTAATTGTATTGAGGTGGACATAGAAAAGCGTTCCTCAGCACTGTAGTGGGAGAAGGGAAGGAAGAGCATTTCATGACACAAAGGACAGTGATAGCTCCCGATGTTATCACTTTATACTGCATGACACGACATGGGAGAAGCAAAGGAAAAAATTTGATGACACAAAGTACAGTGATAGTTCCTGATGTTGTCACTTTATACTGCATGACATGGCATGGGTGACTAAGAGAGACTTTCACTGAAATAGTTTCGTGCTGGTGCCTGTTAATTCAGCCAGTGATGTGGATAACTGTAATAGAGAACAATATGTGACAATCCAAAGGTATTCTGTAAGCACCAAAGATGCCTTTGAAGCTATCTGGTATGGATTGAGCAACCCAGGGAAAATTAAGTTTAGATTCAGTGATCCTTAAAGACTCTGCACATGTATTACTTCCAGGAAGAGTCATGACTTGATGTAAATCTAAATTTTAGTAGACTGCTGACCAAAACAAACAAACAAAAAGCCAGGGTGATATCACCAATTTAGGGGGTTTTAATGCTAATATTGATCATTGGGGGTGAAAAATGAAGCAAGTCAACTGTTAAATTGATGGCAAATGTTAACAAATGGGTGATAGATCTTAGTCCAAGCAGCACTTAGTTTTGTCATTCCTTGCCTCCTGATAGAGTGCAGTGCCATCTTTAACAACAACTTCTTGCACAAGCATAGGTTTAAAGGACTGACATATTAGAAATTGCAGATGTAACAAATTTTATTCCCACAAAACTTGCAAATCTAGAATATGCCTCAGAAAGCGATTATATGAGGCAGTTTTACTAGGCATAACAATTGAGAGAATTTTCAGATGTTTTCTGTGGTTTTTTTTTTATTGCTTGTGGGATGTAATTGTGAATGAACATGGGATAAGAAAGATTAACCATAGTCATAAATCAGTGAACAATTTTAAGAGAAACTTTGATTTTAATATGATTTCATGTTTCACTATTCCTCCAAAAGCACATGTTTATCCAGTCAATATGGCCTTTTAATAGATAGAGTACTTGATACTGTCTGACAGGGAACACAGTCAACATTTTCAGTGGTGTCTTTGGCTTGAAGTGTTTAATGTCTAGAATTGTTGCTTTTTTTTTTTTTAAAAAAAATCACTTTGTTAAGCAAAGGAAATATTCCCTGAAGCGGATTGATTTGGCTTGGGGCTAGGGGTGAGGCAAGGAGCAGTGTGTGTGGCAGTCTTAAAAGATTTTAGGTCTAGCAAGTCTTGTCATCTTATATCTGGTTTTAAGTTAGAAGAGGGAATATGTGCTTCTGTCCATTTTATCCATGGACAAGCTAGGAATGGAACGGAACTAGACTGAATGGGAAGAAATACTTTTTCAACTCACAGAACAGACCACAGCTGTCAGGAGCTGGTTCCTGACCTCAGCACTTCATGGTGTGGGGTTTTAGGCAATGAATTCTCTGCATTCAATGTTAGAACCCATAGTAAAGCTTTGACCAGAAGCTTGGACTGCTTGACAGTTGTTTACCTGATTTTAATTGTTTATGATCTGTCTTGGTGTTAATACAGTTTATTGTAAATTCAATTGAAATTTAAAACAAATTAGATCATTACAAGTAAAAATATCCTGAAATCTATTTTAAAAAAATGCCATATTTTCACTTTCTTTTTCTGCTCCCTTACAAAAACATTAAAAGGCAGCATAGTCCAGGATGCCTCCTAGATAATAAAAATAGAAATCTTTTTGTCAGTGATTAAAAAAATGGAGGCAGATGAGGTGATACCTCACAGCAGCCGATGCTGGGATCCCTCAGTGTGATTACAGAAGTTCTAGTTTAAAACTTCCCTTATGAGAATTCCTGATCCAGATATTTGTAATACTTTATATAGTCTGAGTATAAACATTTTCTTGATTAAAAAATTCAGTTGTTTGCTTTTCTTCCAAACCATCATGTTGTTGGTTCATATTCAGTTCAGCTGTCCTCCACAGTTTGTTGTGAGACACGTAGCTGGGCCTTTATGAAGATGAATGGAAAGCTTGAAAGCTCTAACTTGTGGAGCTTAGGTTCTTGGAAACAGATTTTAACCGGAATTCTATCTCTGTATTCTATACTTTAAATGGATACACATCTAGGGATGCACACACCAAGAATTTATCTTTCTCTGTATGCTGAAGTTACACGTGGGAATCAAACAAGTAAATGGTAACTGTTGCCTGCAGTTACCAGCAGATCTAACTATCAAGCCATCTCTTTTGTAGTGTTTACAAGAATTGTAGCAGGGTACGAACATTTTGTGGTGTTTGTCTTAATTATGTACTTAAAATTTAGATGAGTTTTTAATCTCAAACTGCTTTCAGAACTATGAATTTTTTAGTAGAGAAATGATAAAATAAGTTTTAAGTCACTGGTACTGGAATGAAGTTTGTTTCAAGAAACTTGTTTATAAATATGATTGCTTTACATAAAATAAATCTGAATTCAAATGAAAAAAACAACTGCTAGGTTTCTGAAATGATAAAACACTTTGTAAATGCCCTAATATCTGCATTACTATTTACCTCTTGTTTTGGAGGCTAATTCTACAACTATTTTATGCAGGTTCCAGCTGGAACGTCTCGTCAGAGTTACCCAGCTACCACCTATCAGGACTTCAGCAACTGGGAGTCTCTAATGAAAATTAAAGAGGGGCTGCTAAGACAGAAAGAAATAGTGATTGATCGGTGAGTAACCTGCTGCATTGATTACATTAGATGATGTAAAAGCTATGATGTAGAAACTGACTTTCAGGAGAAGTGCTTGCTCAGCAATGTTGTTCAGTTCCAATCCAGCAAATATTTATGCACAACCATGTAGGAGCTAATCGTTGCTAGGAGAGAAGACTGGCTTGCTGGCCAGAAGTCTTTCACAGAGTTGGAAATTTACTTAGGAGTTTAATGCCTCTGTAATGGAACAGCCAGTTCTACTGTCATCTTCTCCATCTTTGCTTCTTACGAGTCTAGGGGTTTGTGTCAGACACCCTCCTGCTCACACAGGTCTTGGAAGTGACTTGCAAGATGAAAATTGGTAAACTTCATTGTCCTGATTTTCTTCTCCATAACAAGTACAGAAACTGTGTGATCAAGCTTTGAGAAACTGGCCTCTGCAGTAACATTCAGTGATAAAACCTTATTTGAATGCTCATACAAATTAATTGGATTATAAAATATTTAATCCAGGATCTATATGTCTATATGTAAATACATCACTTGTTATTTTAATTACTATCAATCTGACATGGGCCTTGGCATCTACTCACTGCTGTTAATTTTCTGTATATGTGAAGTAATTTCTGGAGTTCTTGATGTTTAGATAAAATGAAGTCTTAATGAGGAAAATGTGCTTTTAATAAAGGGCTTGAGGTTAATGAAGCTTACATTAAATTAGCAGGTGTCATCAGGAGCTGTGGAGTTTGGATGTAGGACATTTAAGAAGGGCATTTTTATTTTTGACATAACTATCATTTGGCTTGGTCTGTGGTTTTAATAATAAACTCTTGGCTTGTGGCTGAAAGAGGAGTGGTTTTTCTCATCTTGAAATAGTTGTGCCCTCTTATTGGTAGTTTGCTCCACGGCATGAGAACTGTGTAGAGCAGGTGTGTGTTTATCACAGGCATGTTAGGCATCCATTATGAATGCTTTTATAGTTCATCTAGCAGTTCCTCTCTTAGAATGGGTGGAGATAGTCAACTTGCGCATAATATTTACTTTAGGACCAGGAGAATAACGCTTATGCAAGATCTGTTCCTTCCTCTATTGCACCAGGGCAAGGAATTGCAGTAGTTTAAGGTGTTTCTGTCCCCTGGTAATCTGGCCATACCTCTGCTGGCATGTTATAGTGATGAGGGCTGGTGTCAGCCTCCCCAGTTTGGTGTGGCACATCGGTGTGACTCTACTTGCCTCTGCAGCAGAGGGTGATGCACAAAGTTATGAATTGCAGGGGCTGAGGTGTGGGCACACTGCCCCATCTGCACCTCTCCTGCAGAGGTGTTGATCTCCCAAGGGGATAAACAATTAACATGGAAACATCCTTAACTGTTGCTTAGATCTCCTCTGTCAGAGCCTTGTGATCTGCTGCTTAAAGGTTGTCTAAATTACAGTGGGTTTTTTTGTGCTTACTGTGTCAGTAGTAATGCTGTATGAACTGCAGCCCGCCTCTCAGGGCCCAAGCTATCAGCAGGGTTTCTAAGTACATGGCCCATGATGAGTAGGGCTGGTCTTTGGTGTCTCTGCTGGACATATCATCCTCTGCACTCCACTTGAAGGCTTGTATACAATGGCAACTAAAAAACCACAGTGCATATTATTCTTCTCACACTGGAAGTGTGTTTACAGTCCAGAGCAAAGTTTTTGAAGTTGCAGTTTGTAACCTTGTTGCCTGCTAATGTTACTTGGTGCTGTCCACATTGAGGAAGAAAAGCTGTTTCCTGAAATGCTAATTTATTTATATTGTATTATTTGAACTGAAAGAGGATAGTTTAGATTGAATATTAGGAAGAAGTTCTTCACTATGAGGGTGATGAGGCACTGGGATAGGTTGCCCAGAGAAGTTGTGGATGCCAAGCCCCCAGAAGTGTTAAAGACCAGGTTGGATGAGGCTTTGAGCAACCTGGTTTAGTGGAAGGTGTCTCTGCCCGTGACAGGGGGGTTGGAACTGAATGATCTTTAGAGTCCCTTCCAGCCCAAACCATTCTATGCTTCTATATCCAATGGCAGTGTGCTGGCTCCTTTTTAGTACAAGTTACCCATTTATTTGACTTAACAATAGTCAGTATAGTTCTTCCTGTATTTCTGACCAGAAGGTGGTTGAGATGGTTCCTTTTCATTCAGCTGAAAAGGCAAAATGCACTCTGGGAGCTATTGAATTGAAACAAAGACCACTTAGCAATATTACAGTCATTTCCTTTAAGTAGACACTTGGTGTTACATTTAAGTATGTTATAAATCATAATAATGCAGTATAATACATTACAGAAGAAAATGCTCTTTTTTTGAATAGTGAGCCTCCATTTGGGCAAAATATTTGCCTTAAGTTACTATTTTAAAATGAAATACATTTATTTGAAATAGCTGGTTTGCATTATTTAAAACTAGTACAAAGTAGTGTTGCATATTTAAAAAGATTTTACAACAGATTTTTTTTTGTTTGTTTGTTTTAAGAAGTGATAGTGTTTTCTATGACAAATAAAAATATTATTTATTTCCCTCATGGAGAAAATGGTACATAGCTTCTGTCCACAACCCTAGAAGCAGAAATCCATTATAAAGCACTAGTGTTATATTTGTGGTTAGATGGAATATTAATAAGATTTAATGATAAATAATATCTTTCTTCAAGACACTAAGAAAAAAATTTTGTATTATCTGTGTTTACACATGGATGGAGGCACAAGGCCTTGTACTGAGAATTGAGATGTTTGGGAGTAAACCTAAGCCTTCCAGCCCCTGGTCTTCCCAAGCTTACTTTAAACTTCTTTGCAGAAGTTGAATTTATTTGGCAATAGTCACCTAAAATAAAAAGGTAAAGTTTGCTAAAGTGGGAATAATTAGGAATGAAGATGGTGGTAGATAAAATACAGAATTTATGCTTTCAAAAGTGGAGGAGTAATTTTGTTGACTGAGGTTTGGTGGTAGGTTTTTGCTGAAAGGCCCTTCATGCCTGTGGTTCTCATGCAGTTTTAAAATATATAATCTCCTTAAGCCATGTTTCTTGCTGAATTTACAAACTGGCAACTGGAGGATGCCAGCAAGACTTGTTTAATTCTGGGAGGGATGAATGGGTTAACTCTGCAGTCTGGAAGGTGGAGGAGCAGGGCAGCAGCCATGGTGCTCCAGACCCAGCTGTTCACTGCCGACAGATGCAGGGAACAGCTGGATAAAAAGCACACCTGGAACACCCTTCTCTTGCCCTTGTCACCAGCCTTCCTTTCAGCCACAGGGTTATTACACAGTTTTTTTTAAGGTTGAACCCTCTTGTTTTGGGAACTGCACTGGGGCCCTACTAATCCAGGAGGTGGAGGAGATTAATGAAATTTCACCACACACCTTGTTATGCAAAGCAGAGTTTGAATCTGTTGGTTAGCAGGAAATGGGGGCTCTGTATGGGGTGGGGTCCTTGAGCTGTTCTGCCTTCATCTTGTTAAAAAAGGGAGGAGGGGCAGGAGAAGGAAAGGGAAACCTCCTGCCCGCTTCCCTACTTTCTACACAACCATAAAAAGGCAACAAAAATCCATCCCTTCCGGATTAGATTATTAAACTTCATTGTTTTGCATCGGAAATGTAGGAGTTTGGAATAGCTGCAAGCAAGTTTCAAATAGTCGTTAAAACCAAATCAAGGAATAATGCTTAAAATGTAAAACGTCATACTTGGATACTTTGGTATGTAACTGGGAATTCTAAGCCGTGAATAGATTTATTTTTTTAAAAAATCTTATTTTTAAACCCCAACAGCCACTTACATCTGTGAATAGAACAAGTGGCTTGATTTTTATTCTATACACTGTGTTGAACCGCAGATTTGTTAATAGATTATTTAAAATTGCTTTGATTTGTTTGGTCTGTTTGGCATAACAAATACATATTTTTAAGTACAAATGTACACAGTAGCATAAATGGGTGGGTTTAAAAGTGGTTCTGGTTTGCCTTTTGAAACTACTCTAGAAATTACTGCCAATATAATGAATTGGAGCCTGACAATGGCTTTTAAGTCTGCTCTTAAAAAATGAGATGGAGACTGCTTTTAGGAAGTGAAAATGTTTTGTGAGGAAGGGAGCCTGGAGGTTGTGTGTAGGGGATCACAACAGCACTTCTTAAAGGTGTGTGTCTTCTTTTTTGCAGATAAGAGCTGTTGGTACAGGCTGTGAATAAGGACTTGAGGATTCTGTCTGTAAGAGGAAATCTGCTGTAACACTTATTACTAGAATGTCTGTCACCTACTGTACAAAATAATCCAATTATATCATTGCTGTATTTCTCTGGCAGTTCAGCGTGTAACACTACATTATATTTAGCACCAGAGGGAGCCAACAATGTCTGTATTGGTTTAGAAAATTACAGCATCGAATTTTAATCCTTTGTGTTGCTGCTCTTCTGTTCAGTATGTTCACAACACTAAAATTATAGCGTTTGGTACAACTGCAAATGTCTCTTGAGACTGTCCAGCCACTTTGGATGTCTCTAGTGTGGTCCTGGCACTGTGTACTGGCAAGGGCTGCATATGTAGGGGGTACATGAATAAATGCCAAATATCTGAACCTATGACATAAGCTGCTGAGAATAACAGTGTGCTTGCAGCATTCCCTTCCAGGCAGCTTAAGGGCATTTGAACAGCTTTTTAAGGAAAGGTGGATTCAAAAGGGTACTTTTAGTGAATAGCTGTCATTCCTTAGGGCATAATAACGCTTAAATTCTTGAAACAGTTGCTAAATCATTAGCTTTCCATCCCTAGCTGAATTAGTTTTAGATGTTTTCACTGGGACAAGAGATTTGAATTTTCTTTGCCTTGTGTCATGTTGCCCAGACTTCAGTAGTTGACATCAGGCTGTATGTACTCTGGTAGTGCTCGTGTTACTGATAGAGTAAAGCTGTAATTCTCTTAGTTTGGGGTGGCCTGTTAAGATCTGCAGCATCAGCATATACACTTGGGTGACAATCTGATGGCATTTTTGAGGAGGCTTTGAAGCTTT